TAAAATCTAGTTGTATCATTTTTTTCCTGATACAAAGATTATGTAACCTTTTTAGAGTTTTAAAGCATAACAGGGGCACTTTACCAATAAGCTACACCCCAGCCCTTTTTATCTTGCTAATTTGCCCAGGCTGGCCTTGAACCTGCCCCAGCCTCCCAAATAGTTGGGATTACAGGCGCAGTAGGCTAAGTGTTATATTTCTCTCCCCATTTTTTAAATTAGTGTATGTTTGTAATACACAATAAATACATTCATCGTGGGGAATTGGTACATATAAAATAATATAAATAGAAATAACCTCGGGAAGAACACTCATTTGGTTTGAATAAAGAGAAAGCAGTGCCTGGACACTTTCTAACGTCCCTAGAGGAACTCTGTGTTGCTCTTAATTTGGCAGCACCAAAAAAATTAACTGCACTATACTTGTTATTATATGAGGCGTGCATCTTCCTAATATTTTCTAAAATTTATTGAGATCAGTCACAAGATAGATATTAATGTAAGGTTTAGTCACTTTTTGATTGACTGACAAACTGCTGCAAAAGTCCTTGGAATGGTCACATAATTTGAGTGGAAGAGGTCATCAAGAAAAACATCACCTCTAATGGTCTCTATTCATTGAACACAATTTACATAAAGTATTTTGCTCTAAAAGCTAGTATCCTCTCACATAAAAACAGATTGCTAAAGTTGTATGAAATGATTAGAGGGCAGAGCTTATGTTAGTTTTATCAAAGCAAGGTAACAGGCCCTTAACTTTTAAGATTTATGAGATGGTGAAAAATAATGATCTAAGAAAACACAGCAGCAGCTCACACCTATAATTCCACCATTGAAGAGCGTGAGGCAGGAGGATTGTGGAAAACTGGAGGCCAGCCTGGATACATAACAAAATCCTAGGGGCTGGGGATTTAGCTCAGCGGCAAAGCGCCTGCCTGGCAAGCACAAGGTCGTGAGTCCGTTTCCCGGTACCGGAGAAAAACCAAAACCAAAAACAAAAAACAAAAAACAAAAAAAACGCTGACTGGGGGTGTGGACAGATCTTAGACATGCCTCTCTACTAAAGAAAGACTCTACACCCTCAGAAGAGCCTTTTAAAAAGTTGAACTTGGGCACAGTGGCACAGACCTGTAATCACAGCAGTCTGGGAGGCTGAGGCAGGAGGATTAAAAATTTGAGCCCATTCTGGATAACTTATTAGCTTAGCTAGACTCTAATTAAAAAAAATTTTAAGGGCTGGTGATATAGCTCAGTATGAAGACCCTAGATTCAATCTTCAGTGCCACAGGGAAAACAACAAAAAAGGACACAAAATTGCTGGGCATAGTGGCAAAGGGCTGTAATCTCAGCACTCAGGAGACTGAAGCAGGAAGATTGCTGCTAGTTCAAGGCCAGCCTGTGATACACAAGACCCTGTCTCAGGAAAAATAAAAAATTATTATTTCCACCAATTCTGCTGGCATACATCTATAAACCCAAGAAAGGCTGAGGCTGGGGGATCACAAGTGAGTCCCACCTGGGCAACTTAGTGAGCCCTTGTCTCAAAGATAAAAAACCAAATAAATAAATAAAAAGGGCTGCAGCTGTAGCTCAATGGCAGCGTGCCCCTGGGTTAAATCCTCAACAGTGGGGAAAAAAATATTAAAGCAAGTTATGAACAAAAGCAACAAAAAAGCAAGTCAGTTATATTCCTGCTTATTCTCAGTATAAAATACATTTAAAAATTGCTAACTATGTTAAATCAAAAAACAATGTTAGCTGAAATTTTTAAATCTGCAAAGTAGCCAGGCATGGTGCAGGACACCTGTAATCCTAGCACTCTGTAGGCTGAGGCAAGAGACGCACTGCAAGTTCAAGGGCAGCCTAGGCTTCACAGTGAGCTCAAGGCTCGTCTGAACTACTGTACACAGTGAGACCCTGCCTCAAATAAATAGATAAATAAATCCACAAAGTAAATATAGAGATTTCATGTTTCTTGGTTTTTTTCTATGTTCTGATAGTATTTTTTTTGAGACAGGGTCTCTCTATGCAGTTCAGGCCGGCCTTCAACTCACTGTATAACCCCAGCTGGCCTCGAACTTGCAGCAATCCTCCTGTCTCAGCCTCTCGAGGGCTGGGATTACAGGTGTGTGCCACCATGCCCAACTTAGTAAAGGATTTCAAGGCACAAATTTATTCCATTTTTATACATTTTGGAGATTATATATAAGAATTAAGCTTTGCCAATACACAGATGGATGAATCATGCTACTGGTGTTCATTTTAATCATTTTTACATTTTTGCAGTGCTGGGTATGGAACTCAGGGCCTCACACACGCTGGGAAAGGGTTCTACTACTGAGCTACAACCGTGGCCCTGATTGTAATCTTCTTTTAGGGGGGTACCACGAATCGAACTCAGGACCTTTTGCTTGCCAGGCAGGCACTGTACCCCTGAGCTATAACCCTGGCCCCTTGACTGTAATCTTAAAGTTAGTACTACTTCCTGCTTTATGTATCAGCTTTAATTCTCTATAAAGAGCCAGATATGATGGCATATGCCTTTAATCCCAGCACTCAGGAGGCTGAGGCAGGAGGACTGCCACAAATTTGAAGCCAACCTGGTCTAGTTGAGTTGAAGGTCAGCCTGTCTCAAAAAACCAAAAAAAGGGCTGGGGATTTAGCTCAGCAGCACAAGGCCTGCCTGGCAAGCGCAAGGTTGTGAGTTTGATTCCCAGTACCAGAAAAAAAAAAAAAAAAAAAGGGAAACGGTAATATTAATTAAGATTTACACAAGGCTAGGGGAATAGTTCAATGTAGACCACTTGTCTAACATGTGGTAGTGCCTGGCTTCTATCCCTAGCACCAAAAATAAAAAAATTATATGCATTATATTTTACATCTTAAAAAACATCAATTCACACTGTATACAGTAGTATAGTGTATTTGGGCAAAACCTATGAAATATACCTTGGTCGTTTCAAACGTCAAAAACAGAACAACAAGTTTTAATAAACTACTAATAACTGAATTTTATGCTACTACTTACTATCAATTTCTAGGCGCCATATATATATGTAGCATGTTGGAAACCCCTGGCTCAATCCTCAGCACCACATAAGAAAAATTATTTTTAGAAGGCACTGAGAGTCCATTTGTATACATGTTTTGAAATATTATCATCTAGCTTCCTCATTTCAAACCTCATTCCAAGCTGGGCGTGGTAGCACTTGCCGGTAATCCCAGCACTCAGGAGGCTGAGGAAGGAGGATCATGGCAAGTCTAAGACCAGCCTGGGCTACATGGTGAGTTCAAAACCAGCCTGAATTACATAGCAACATCCAGTCAAAAAACAGAACAGAAGGGCAACAACCCGACTCTGCCTCATAAAATAAAACAAAACCCTCATTCCTCTAAACTGGGCTACCCTGCCTCTGTATGACTCACATTAATTCATCTTCCAATTCAAAAGCACTTCAGCTTAAAATAGTCACCAGGCATGGTAGTGCACTTGGGAGGCTGAGGCAGAAGGATTGCTGTGAGTTTGAGGTCAGTCTGGCCTTCCTAGTTTGCTCGAGGCCAACCTGGGCTCTACAGCAAGACCCTATCATTCATAAATAAGATAGATAGATAAAGTAAGTTGTTATCTGGGCTGAGGATATAACTGTAGCTCAGAGATGAAACACTTGCCTAGCATATGCAGGGCCGACTTCAATTTCCAGCACTTGGGGGGCGGGGCGAAGGGGTAAAATTTAAATACACTACTCGCTTATAAAACTGATAAAAAAATTTAAAAAAAAAAAAAACATTTCACTTATTAAGAAACTGAAGCTCCAGGTCAACAACTAGTAAATGTGGCACAGTTTGAGTAAAATCCCAGATGATTCTGTCTGAAAGCCAATACTTCCCCTTGGCCACAATTATCCCCTTACAAGATTAAGAGGGCTCAACAGCGGAGAAGCTTGTCTTTTCTAACGTTCGTGAATCTATTCTGAAACATACACCCCGACACTACCTACAATTCATTCGACTGGCTGAAAACATATATGAAGAGGATTTTTCCACTTCATTTAAACTAGGGCAGGTTTGCTGGAAGGTCAAATAGTAACAATAACAATTAATAATAATAATAATAGAAAAAGCTTGCCTCGACATGTCTCGCCTAGACTTCTATAGCTACGGTTTTCCCTGCCGGCTCTTTGCTTTTTTGTCTCTCTTCCTTTCTTTTTCTTAGCACGTACATCTAGTACACAAGGCTACGCCTGACTACAGTTAGATACTTTTCACAATCGTACTTTCCTAAGGAAATTTAACCAGATATATATCGGGCCGGGAGACTTGGGCTGATTATGTCCTTCGGACACTTTCCAAACATCTGAAGTATCGTTTAGCGGCCACAAACCTAGTTCCATCCTTTCTTTCACGCTGCGATCCCTGCCCACTTGGGGGCTACTGCTCCTACAGGACGCGGGGCGAGCGGGCAGTAAAGGAAGACGCGGGGGAAGCGCACGGAAGTTGGGTGGAGAGAGCTCGCTACCCACTCCGCTGCCCCAGCTCTGCCAAGGGCGGCTCCGCGGTGCCCAGGCGACTCGGAACCCCCACCCGCGTCGCAGCCCGGCTCTGTCCCAGCGAGGCGGCAGAGAGAAGCGGGCGCTGGAAGCCTGGGGTGGCTGCAGCCACCCGCTGAGCCCATGCCCTCCTTCTGGCCCCGGAGGATGCTCCCCCTTTCCGAGCGAGCCCTCCAGGTGGCAAACTCCGGGTGTGCACGCGCCAAGTCTTCTGCCTCCGAGGGGCGCCGCCTCCTCCGGTCTCCCACCGAAATCCCGCAACTCTCCGCCCGGTGTCCCCCAGCGCACGCATTCCGCCCCCGCAGCCGCTACACACGCTCGCCGGCCTGCGCCCCACCCGGGATCCCGGCGCCCCTGCCCGGACCCAGGGAAGGGCCCCCCGGCAGCTCGCTCACACCCACACACACCCTCACACTACAGCCTCCCGGACCCCTTCGAAGCCGGAGCGATTACCTGGACCCGCCGAGCTCTGCGGCTCCAACCAGGCGGGCGCGGTCCCCTCCCCGACGCGCGGAGTGCTTCTTACCCACCCACAGCCGCTTCTCTTTCCCCAGAGCGGGAGGGAGGAGCGGAGGCGGAGGGGAGGGGGGAGGCGAGGAGCCGAGGGGCGGCAGGAGAACCGGAACCATTAACCCTGGCCCCGCCCACAGCCTGGTGCCCGCAAAGAGCTCTGGCGCTCCTGATAGGACCAACTTCAGCGGCCTCCCAGACATTGACACCACCAGTTCCGGGTCATCGCCACCTCGGCCCCTCCTTAGCAACCGCGTGGGGTTGCTAAGCGGAAGTGCCTTCAAAGGCACCCACCCCCTTTTCTTCTGCGACTCTGAGGAGATAGGTTGGGAGCGTCTGGCTGTCGTTTGGTAACACCCTCTTACTTCTGCTCAGGGTGTTAGATCCGAGGAATCGCTTCGCTGCTAGAGACTAAAAGCTCACGCTTTTCCCTTCAGCTAGTCTCCATCACCCCCCACCAACTACGTCCACCTGATCCTTTCCGCTCTGAGCCGAGACCAACCCCTCGGCTCCTCCTGAGGATCCTCTCTGTTCCCACGCGGGCGTTACTTTCTGGCGGTTTAGCAAGCATCTCCCTCTTGTGGATTTCCCATTGTGTTTCATCTAGATTTTTTAAATCTTTGGTGTGGTGAAAGCTTTTCTATGCACTGCATTCTCCTGTAACAGCCCCTGAAGCCAAATGGTGAGAAAAGTTTTTCTCTTCACCTGTCTTTTGTAAGGATTGTGCGTGGTTGTGTGTGGTCTGGAAATAACCTAAATTGATGAACTAAATACGCTAAATTGATGAGACCAAAGAGATTCGATGTAAATTTACTATTAATCCTGAAAAGAGAAAGCAAAGAAAAAGACCAAAGAAAGCCCGTAATCAGACTTGGAAAGGAGAAAGGCATTTAATCCTCCAAGCAGAATAAACCTTCGTACTTACATTGTGGACAAATGGCAATAAGGAAAGTCATTTATTCTCTCAAGATCATTTATGGGTTAAAAAATATTGGGAAAACTATTCGTTGGGATAAAACTCAGCAAAATAATCTTTAATCAATAACCCATATCATTAAAGTAATTAAATATTCAGAGAAAAATTAATAGAACTTGGCTTTCCTATCTTGAACAGGTCTGCTTAAAAACTTTAAAGTTTCAAAGTAGTTTCTAAATTTGTTTTCTGTAGTACTGAATATTCTTGCAACTGCAGGTTCCAGTTTTATTGATCATAACAATCGCTAAGTCACCAATATTGGGCTGTTATCCATCTTGGCTAGGACAGACAGGAAATCGGTTTTGGTAACTTAAAAGAAACACCAGGTCTATTGGTTTCCTGGATTTAATTGAGTCACCCTAGGCAGTCAACTTAGCAAAACTTTAGGAAATCACTCAAATGTGTCAGGTTGCTAAGTAAGTTTAAGACATTTCTATTCCTGCCATCAACATGTACACATGTGGGAATATGTACACACAAATCAAATGAAATCTGAGCACATGCAGTAATTAATTTTTCTTAACCTTGCCGAGGGCTGAGGGTGTGGCTCAGTGCTGAGCGCTTGCCTAGCATGCCCAAGACCCTTCCTTCTTTCTCCCTCACCAAAATAAAAAGCCTGGCTGAAAGTGACTAGTGATAAACTCAATACTATAGTATTTCAACTGCTAACAGGTATAAATACATTCCTAAAAACCTTTAAATTAGAAAAGTAGGTAAAAGTATGATCCCAGTGAGCAAAAACTTATGTAAAATGATGATAGGCTTAAATATATATTAAAAATTAGAACATGATTATGGTAAATGTGTTCTTAGAAAGTAATGTCTTATTAAGTAAAATTAATATGAACAATTAAGCATGATAGTTTAAGCTAATATGGAAATGCAAATTCTCATGCATCACTAATTGTAGCCACTGCCTGAGTAAAATTTACAAGCAGCATGCTTTCATCCTCTCTCCTTTTATTTTTTGATTTTGAGACAGGGTGTTACTAAGTCACTAAGTTGCCCCGTCTGGACTCAAGCCTGGAACGCCCAGCCTCAAAGAATGCTAGAAGTGCAGGCATGTACCACTGTGCCCAATTCCAGTCACTTTTGTATAGGTAAATGAATAGCTTGACTCTAGAATGGTCATGTGGGACTGGGGATAGAGCTCAGTGGCATAAACGCCTGCCTGGCAAGTGCAAGGTCCTGAGTTCGATCCCCAGTACTGCCCCCCGCAAAAAAAAAAAGGAAAGAGAAAAAATATATATATAGAATGGTTATGTGACCTCTGTAATTCAGTCACTTTCTACATAATCATTGTTTGGAGACCTCTAGAGATGGCTAACACAACTTCCACCTAAAACTAAGTATGTGAGTTTAATTACACTTTTAGGATTTTGTAACCAGTATTAAAGAATTTGTAACCTTAACGTAAACTATATAACTATGCTATCTCAGCTCTAGACTGATCTCAAATACCCTTCAGAAATCAGTACAGTACCTTCATCTTATGGGTTAATAAAACCTCTAGTCTTCCCCCCCCAACCTCTTTAGAGCTTTCTCATCTTTTATATTGCCCATTGAAATGATTTAAGAGAGAATTAGCATATTTAACATTTATTTTTAGGAAAACAATACTATTACTCAATAATTTTTAAATATTTCTACAGTGAATAATATTGAAAACTTGGCAGGCCATGGTGGCACACACTTGTAAGCCCAGCACTCAGGAAGCTGAGGCAGGAGGAGCACTGCAAGTTTGAGCCCAGCCTGGGCTAGATAGTGAGTTCAAGCCAGTCTGAACTATATAGTGAGACCTTGTCTCAAAAAAAAAAATTGAAAAATTGTTAAGAGTTCCATTAGCAGGCTAGGGAAATAGCTCAGTGGCTCAAGCACCTGACTAGCAAGTGCAAAGTCATGAGTTCAATTCCCAGCACCAAAAAAAGAGTTCCATTAGTATCTCCCAATATAAAAGATACCAAAGCTAGTCAAACAGTTAATTAATGAATACTTAGGGTCAGTAAGAAATTTAGCTAAGTGTAGTATACCCAGTTACTTAGGACAACCTAGCCTGAGCCAAAGAGACCCTATCTCAAGAAAAAAAATTTGGGCCACCTGCTCAAGATCCTTCCTAGATATCCAGGACCTATTTTTCCTTTTACTATTTCCAATAAAAATTGTCCTTACCTTAAAAAATACATACATTGAAACATCAAGGGATGCACCTCAGTGGTAAAACACTTTCCTAGAATTTATGAGGCCCTAGGTTCAATACTTAGCACAGATTAAAAAGAAAAAGGAATTTAGCCAAATTTACCATTTATATGCTTAAACAATGTACTGTGCAATGCAAAAATACATAGCCCCTTACACCAAGGGATTTAGAATAACTCACTTAGGCTATAAGTGACATTAACAACAGAATGTTAAGCCTTACAAAGGTTAAAGATATAACAATTATCTTTAAATAATTGAAGGCCTTTATGTGGAAGGAATAACTTGTTCTGTTATTTCAAGGACAGAACCAAGAATAAAAAGGAGCCTGGGGATGTTGCTGTTGATCAGTGGTGGAACACTTGCCTAGCATACCCAAGGCCCTGGGTTCTGTCCTCAGGACCACAGAAAGAAAACTGAAAGTGAAAACAATTCAAACCGAAGATTGTTAACAATTACAGTTGCTAATAGGACAATTCACTTATAAATAGCAGTTAGTAACTCAGATCGAATAGATGACTTCTAATATTCCGCTGTTTTGATTCAATAAAAGATCTCTTCTGTTTCCATATGCTGTTCTCAAAGTTAAAAAGGAACCACCATAACAATGTTGGTTGGAAAAAGTCCCAAGTGAACCTCAAATTTTCCACAAGTGAGTTAGCCTGAAGGAGTCTAAATACAATAGGATTTGTAAGCCGTGTCTGTGTGTGTGTGTGTATTTGAGAGAGGTTCAATTAGTTTAGGCTTTGTTTTATGGATTTTTTTAAATACACTTTCTATATTTGTTGTCATTGTTCAGTACTAAGAATTGAACCTAGGGCCTCCAGCATGCTCGGCAGTCACTCTAGTACCGAGCTATGTCCCCAGCCCTCTCAATTGCCCAAGCTGGCCTTGAACTCCTGGCCTCAGTCATTGTGCCTCAGCCCACATAGTAGCTGAGATTGCAGGCACATGGCATCATCACTCGCAGCCATTCTCCAACTTTTACAAACTGCTTTTTAAAAAACTGCTTTAAATACTATACTTTTCTATCTCTCTCTTTTCTTTTTTTCTTGAGAGAGTCTCATTCTGTTCAGGCTGGCTTGGAGCGTAGTATTAGTCCAGGCTGGCCCCAAATCCACATCAATCTTCCTGTCTCAGCCTCCTGAGCGCTGGGATTTCAGGAGGGCACCACACCTGGCTAGAGTAGTATCTGTTCCTTTATGAAACTATGCATCCAAACACAAAATACATGTGGTCCTCACACACTCTAGCATTAAGATTCCAGGGTCGCTTTAATTGTTATTTGTTCAGGAATAACACTAGCATTAATAATTTGAATCCATTAAAAGAGGAAAATTTGATCAACTCCTTGAGAAAAGGAACACAATAAAAACTTTAATTACCTTTTTGAAAATGGATAAATTTTTCTTAATTCAACTTCATTAGAAGCCAGTGTTCTGCCCTTCCCATGTGTTTAGCAAAGCTAACTTATGCTACATTTTTTAAAAGCTTGACAAGGATTTTCTGGCATGGTAGGACATGCCAGCCTTCAGGAAGCTGAAGCAGGAAGATAGCTGCAGTTTGAGGCTAACCAGGGCTAGATAGAGAGTTGAAAGTCTAACCTGAACTAGATAGCAAGACTCTGTCTCAAAGAAAAAGTTGATCAATCAATGCACTAATCTGTGTTTGGAAGGAATAAAATGCCATCATGTAGTAGGTTAAGATCTTAAGAACCACACAAAGGGATAATGTATTGTAAAAATAAGCATTTATTTCAAACAATCAGAAAAACGTGCCTATTAAAATCTGGTTAATTTTGAGGTGTTTTTTTTTTTTTTTTTGTACCGGGAATCAAACTCAGGCCTCGTGCTTGCCAGGCAGGCACTGTGCCACTGAGATGCATCCCTGGCCCAAAACATGGTTAATTTTGAAAAGTGACAGCCTGACACTAAGCAAAAAGTGTTACAAGCCATCAGTTAACAAGTAATATTACACACACTTCTTCAATTATACTGCTGGTTATCTTGAGAAATGTAGTGAATGCCAAGGATTTCAGATATAGCTCTGGGCTTATGGCATGGTTTGCCTATCATGTTTTATTTATTTCCACTTTAAAAGTATAAGCTTGAAAAGTAATAGCTTGTGAAATTGAACCAAATACATATGCAAGGAAAATTCCCCTTTTCTATGGACTCCGTGGAAGCTGTTTCTGATTCTACGCTAGTGTTTTCTCTTTGTGTTGGTTTATTCCTGCTCTGCCCTCCAGTACGGAGGCCCGGATCCACAGCCTTGCACACGCTGGGCAAGCGCGCTACATGGAGCAACATGCCCAGCCAATCTTTTCTTTTTTCTTTTTTTAATTTTGACAGAGGGTTTTGCTAAATTGCCCAAGCTGGGTGTTATAATCCTTCTGCCTCATCCTCCCCTCTAGCTAGGATTACAGGTGTGCACTACCACACCCAGCTTTGTGATTGTTTTATTTTTTTATATCTATTTATTTATTTTTGTTTTTTGAGACAGGGTCTTGCTATGTAGTGTAGGCTGCCTTTGAATTCGCTTAGGTAGCCCAGGCTTGCCTCCAACTCACTGTGATCCCCCTGCCTCAGCCTCCGGAGTGCTGGCATTACAGGTGCATGCCATCACACACAGCTTTATGGTTGTTTTTTGTTTGTTTGTTTGTTTTTTGCCGCCTTGAGGCAGGGTCTCACTACTAGTTCGGGCTGGCCGTGAACTCAGCCTCCAACTCATAGCGATCCTCTTGCATCAGCCTCCTGAGAGCTAGGATTACAGGCATGTACCACCATGCCCAGCTATAGTTGTTTTAAAACCTTTGATTACCAACTGTGTAAACCCTCAAGACTAAATTGTCTTTAACTTTATCTAAAAGGAAGATAGCTATTCAAATTTTGTCAACATTACACCCTTGGCCCCCTTCCTGAAGAATGATAAAGATTAAATTTAATTAATACTGGTGTTTTTTTAATAAGCAAAAGTCTAACCCTGCTTTTTAAAGCAAATAGGAAGCATAAAAGTATGGCACTATTTCAAATCAGATGCCAATAAAAATGGCATCAGCACAAAGATCTAAGCAAATATCAAATACACAAGATTAGTAATTAGAACATCATGCGATGATTTCGTTTTAGTAAGAACAAGAAGCTTAGTAACAGGTAAAAGAGACATATGGCATTATATTGAATACAGTATTAAGCCAAACAACCATAATTTTTACAAATTCTCCAATTATAACTGCTTGCTCTTGAATAACTAAATTTTAGCCTCATGTTTTAAATTAAATGCCTATTCAACAAAGCTAATTGAACAAAACACCTATACAAATGTAGACCCCTAGAATATCAGCGTAAACAGGAGACATTATTTACAGATGAGTAAGAAGGTTCTATTCTTGTTCATCATCGCTGTGATCAGGTTGCAAAGGACATGCTCTGTGGAAAGAGTAGAAAAAAAAGAGTAGAGAACTTTAGTAGTCACTCAAATAACACGGGCTTACAAAAAAAGTTTAAACCCTGTAAAAATAAGGAAAATTAAACAATAGGGTCCGGTCAAATGACTAGAAATGAGAGAAAAATTAAGAAAACTCCATTAATTGGCAAACATACAAATTTCAAGTATCAGTGCAACAAAGTTTGAAGCACTGTATTTTGCCCCTTACTTTGAACAATGCATGTTTCTCACTTAGGAGATGTTATTTTTATTTCAAAAGGAGTATCTCCTTCCTACAGCATCTTTTTTAATGCGTTAAGTGGATTTTTTTTTTTTTTTTTTTTTTTTGAGACAAGATCTCACTCATTTTGTAGCCCAGGCTAGTCTCGAACTTGCAACGATCCTCCTGCCTCAGCCTCCCGAGTGCTGGGATTACAGGCGTGTGCCACCGTGCCCAGCGGTTAAATGGACTGATAAACAGTATCAGTAAGAATTTTACATCCAGGCGTGGTGGCACATGCTGGTTATCCCAGCACTTAGGAGGCTGAGGCAGGATGATTGCCTGTTTGAGGCCAGCCTGAACTACATAGCAAGACCCTTCCTCAAAAAATGAAAACAAACTAGAAAGGATTTTATAATAATAATAAAAAAAACCAGAAAAATTAACCAACCCACTTGAGCAGAGAAAACATACAGCAAATTTCCTATTTCACCATATACCCTTTTGGATCATATGAATGTATAAGAATTAGAAATACATCAGATTGTTTTGTTAGCATATGATAAGTGTAACTTTTAAAAAATAACTTACGTTATCCAAAGGCCATTTGATAGTTATCCTTTTTATAGTTAAAATTAATTAAGAACTTAATCATAAATTTAGAATTTTTTTTTTGAGACAGAGTCTCACTGTGTAGTTCAGACTGGTCTTGAACTCATTGTGTAGCCCAGGCTGGCCTTGAACCAGTGGTGATCCTCCTGCATCAGCCTTGCCAGGATTACAGGTGTGTGACATCACATCCGGCTTTAGAATTTTTATTTTAGAATTGACAAAGAATTGTGAGTTCCACTCTGAATCCCTTAGTTTTCTAATAGAACCAGTGAGTCTCAGTGGTCTAAAAGCAGAGTGCTAAAAGAAAGCTAAGGGCTGGGGAGATAGCTCAGTGTCACAGCGCCTGCCTGGCAAGCACAAGGTCCCGAGTTCAGTTCTTGGTACCAAAAAATAAATAAAATAAAATAAAGCTAAAAGGAAGGTGTTGAGACTTGGTATTAGATCATCATTGCTTCATATACTAGTAGATTACAGAGATATCTTCACTGTAGTTTACTGCAAATCAAACCAGGTTAACAAATGAACCATGGTTTATATCATGGCTCAAACTTTTTTGCAAGAGACTGATTCACTCTAGACATCATATTTCTGCCCAGGATTTAAGCAGCCAGCCAACCAGCTGTGATAGCGCACACCTGTAACCTCAGTACACTGGAAGACTCAGGCAGGACGGCTGCAAGTTTGAGCCCTGGCCTAGCTGGGGTTGTAGCTCAGGGCAAGGTTCCTGGGCTCAATTCCATTATCTTGTTTAAAAAAGAAACTTAAGCATGTAATCCCAGCACTGGGAAGGCTCAGACGGGAAGATTGCTGTGAGTTTGAGGCCAGCCTGAGCTACAAAGTAAGCTCAAGGCCAGCCTAAACTGCATAGCGAGACCCTGTCTCAAAAGAATAAATTAATTAATTAAACACTGAAGCAGATAGTCTTTCTTGAGTCTGATTCTTTTCTGTATAGCAGATAGGAGTTTACACTGCCTTTGGGAGAGAAATAAGGCCAGAAAAATAACGATTTCAAAATATGAATTGAGAAGTTTATATTTCTTGTGATAAACTTATTTACTATTTCACTTAGGGTATAATTACAACTGTCCTAATTACAAAGACAAATCTAAGAAAGGGGTTAAAAAAATAACATAAACCTGTTACCTAGTTTTTGGGTCAGACTTTATTATACCAGGGATTAAAGTTGTTTATGAGAATATATATATAATCTCTTTCCGTATGAAGGCAAGTCTGTCATATAAGTTTTATTTCTGTGATAACCAGTGCTATAGTCACATTCAGATAAGTCACAGTTAATTCAAAAGGATTGAAACATGTTCTACCTAATCTTGCCTATTAGTTTATTCATATTAGAATAAGAAAGAACAAGAAGAATGGTACCAGACAATGAGAGGGAACTAGAAGAAACAGGGTCATGAGAAAAGCCCATGAAAAGCTTTATCCAGCCAGGCACGGTGGCACACGGCTGTTATACCAGCACTCAGGAAACAGACAGAAAGAGAATAAAGTCATGTCCAGCCTGGGCAGTCAGGGAGACCTTGTCTCACAATGGCTGGGGGCCAGGTGTGGTGGCGCCCAGCTATAATCTCAGCATTTTGGAGGCTGAAGCAGGACTGCTGTGAGTTCAAAGCCAGCCTGGACTACACAGTGAGACCCTGTCTCAAAAAAAAAAAAACCAAACAAGAGCCTGGGTATGTAGCTCAGTGCAAAGGCCTTAGGTTTAATCCCCAGTATGGCAGAACAACAATAAAAAAGTAAAGTTAATATTTTAAAATTTGATTTATCTAATATACCTTTCAAACAGATCAGTTTTCAAACTGTAAAGTGATTCAGTATACACAGAAATGAAAAAGTGCTCTGAGATGAATAGCAGTGAGCGCACTTCTAAACTTTGAAATCAAGCGTGGCAGGTAAAGGAGTGCAACACTCTCCTCCCTTCTGCTGTCTTCCCAAGGCAGTTGAGGACATCACGTTACAGCGATACAAACGTATTTATGGCAGAACACGTAGTAGCTGAATCTTAGGAGCAGCCTATATGTCCATGGACAGATCAGTGGGAAAAAAATGCAGTTATTTATGAGCTGTGGTGTGTTACTCGGCCAAAGAAGGATAAATTTGAGTCATTTGTACAACAGTGATGCACCTTGAGACCATAATATTAAGTTAAATAAACCAGACAGAAGTTTAAATATCACATGATTGCTCTTATGAGAAAACTGAAGTATAAACAATTTAAAGAGCAAAATAAAAGAGATAATAGGAAGCAGGGAAATAGATCTTTTACAAATGGGAAGGGCACCCAGAGATTCAAAAAGTGGGGTAGGGGGTGGGGGGAAAGGATTAAGACGTGTTATGTACATGTACCAACTCTCTACAAAGAATGTAGTCAATATGTACTGCAAACATACGCAATTTAAAAAAAAAAATTTGTGGGGATACTGCGAAATGAACTCAGTACCTCATGCTTGCCAGGTAGGCATTGCACTGCTGAGCTAAACCCCCCGGCCCCTAAATTGTTTAAAGCACAAAAGACCAAAAAAAAAAAAAAAAAAAAAAAAAATCTGATACTGTTGTTGTATGGTGACATACTGGGAAACATCACAGACTGATGAGTATCTATGTAAGAATCACTCATGCTTGGATTTGGAGTAGATTCCAGCCCATCCTTGCCCTGGCACATGCCAACTGCTCCGCAGAAAGTTCAGTACAATGTCCAGGGGCCCAGAATGTAGCTCAGTGGTAGATACAGCACTCACCCAGCATGTATGAGGCCCTGGATTCAACCCCAGCACCGAAAACAAAACACAGAACAATAAAAAAACAAAACACAAAAAAACTTAGGACAAAATGACTGCTGAAACAATGTACACCAGGAACCGGGAACCTTTTAGAGCTTTCAGTGATACAGACAGCCCACTTGAGGCATGTAAGCAGTACGTTCGCCACCACTGATACAGAGGGTTTTTGCTAACACCTGGTGTTTCCTTCCAGTGTACATATAAAAATCACAAAATCTTTTTATACTACCTAATTTATTTTATGCCTTTCTAGATTTTGTTAATCAAAATAAAAACTGAATCTCCATTCCACAGTGCATTGTTTTTCTTTAGATCAATGTGAAATTATTCCAAGATAAGCTTGTGGTTTGTCTGTTTGTTTGTTGTTTTGTCTTTTTGAAGTTCAGGCTGGTCTTGAACTCACTGTATAGCCCAGGCTGGCCTCGAACTCGCAACGATCCTCCTGCCTCAGCCTCCCAAGTGCTGGGATTACAGGCATGTGCCAGCACACCTGGCTCCAAGATGAAGGGTTGTTTTTTTTTAATTTTTTTGTTTGTTTGTTTTTTGAGACAGGATCTTGCTATGCAGTTCAGGCTGACCTTGAGCTCACTTTGTAGCCCAGGCTGGTCTCGAACTCACAGTGATCCTCCTGTCTCAGCCTCCCGAGTACTGGGATTACAGCATGCGCCACCACACCAGACCCAAGATAAAGTTTTAAGAGTTTCTCTCTTGCTCTTTTTCTCTCTGTTGTACTAGGGATTGAACCTGGAGTCTTCACACTGAGCTATAGTCCCAGCATTTGTTTGTTTGATGATGACAAGGTATTGCTCAATTGCCCAGGCTGGGCTTAAGTTTGCCATTCTCCTGCCTCAGCCTCCCAGAGTGTTGGGATTACAGGTATGTGCCACCACACCTGGTTTAAAGGTCCATATTTCTTTAGCCACATTTAATGAAATCAGTAACTAATTTTCAGTTTCTCAATGTTGTAAGTAAAACTCAAGCAGATTTAACATTGACATTTATCACTGAGGTAAAGCCTGCCAATGACTTCAAGCCAGTCCAGTCTGGGACTCAAGATTTTCTGTGTTAGCCTAGCGGGGTGGCATGCACTTGTAATCCCCTACTTGGGAGGCTGAGGCAGGAGGATCATAAGTTAGAGGCCAACCCGAGCTACAAAGCGAGACCTTATCTCAAAGGATGAAAAAAAATTTTTTTGTGTGTGTTAATGAATGGAATTAGTAGATTTGATGAAGACCCAGGATTTTTTCCAAGCTGCACTGGAATTCCAGGTGCCATCTGTAGTGGGTTTTAGAATATGAGTTACAGAACTGCAGATATTTCTTGATCTGAGGGGTTTTTTTTTTAGACAATCAATCTCTGCAGTTCCGGCTTACAGGCATGCGGCACCACATCCAGCCTGAGTTTTGTTTTTGTTACTGTTTTCTAGTAACCTAGGACCTTCACACTGAGCTTCACCCCCAGTCCTATTTTTAACTTTTTGTTTGTTTGTTTGTTTTTGAGACAGGGTCTCCAAGTGGCTAAACTGCCCAGGATGGGCTCCAGCTTGTGATCTTCCTACCTCAGCCTCCCACACTGCTGGGATTACACATATGTGAAACAAACCACCTGACCTGAGTGTCTAACAGTAGAGACGTAGAAGGGCGGCAAGGCCAACCAGGCTGTAGCTCTTAGTGTGTTTATGGTGCTGTCACTGTAGGGAGGACCGTGTGCTGGTTAAGGAGGAAAATGAGTAAGTCCTTTTTTTTTTCTTTCTTTCTTTCTTTTTTTTTTTTTGTCTTTTTGAGACAGGGTCTCCCTATGCAGTTCAGGTTGGCCTTGAGCTCACTTTGTAGTCCAGGCTGGTCTCGAACTCGCAACGATCCTCCTGCCTCAGCCTCCCAAGTGCTGGGATTACAGGCGTGCACCACCACGCCCGGCTAGTAAGTACATTTTAGTAGGCGCAGTGCCAGAAGCAGCAGCCGCACCTGAGCCGGCCACCCATGGGTCAGTGCGCGGCGTCCGGCATACTACTTGGCAGGCTGGAAGAGCTCCCGGCCTCTGGCTGGTGTGGAAGTAGCAAGAGGGGCCTCATACTGAGGAGGCAGCACAATGAGGGTGGTACCACACCCTCCGCTCTCACACTAAGTAAAATACTTTGTTTTTCAAACTTCAAACATTAAACATTGGGTATAGACCCTACACCCCATTCTTATACATTTTAGAAAAAGATCATTTTCCTGATTTTTTTTTTTTTTTTTTTTTGAGACAGCATCTCACTGTGCAGTTTAGGCTGATCTCAAACTCCTGGCAATCCTCGTGCTTCAGCCTCCCAAGTGTTGGGATCACAGACGTGCGCCACCACCCCTAGCCCCCTGATTCTTAAAAGTAGTGCATTCATATGTTTATTGTTGAAGATTGGTAGCAGAGAGTTTGAGAAAACGTTTTTACCCAGAGGTGATGGTTCTTGGTATTTTTTGTTTTTGCAAACAGTTCATCTACATGAATTTTATACTGTAAAGATTATACTTTTGTATAATTTTTGCTTAAAAAATATCATGAGCATTTTCCTATCCTTAAAGATATTAAAAGCATGATTTAATTCGCTTCTTAAAAGATTTGCACACTGAGCTCTGTGTATGTATAGTGTCCCCCCTTCGTTTTCTTCAGAACTTACAGAGAAGCTGTAAAGGAAACATACCATGGGGTTAGTCTTGGTTGTTTCCAGATGACTGACACTTCTGTATTTTGCAGTTTTTCTACATTGGTTGTATATGTGTTAATGGAAGTTAAACTAGTTGTTTCTGTTTTTTCTGCTGGAAAGTGAACCCAGAGATTGAACTCATGCATGCTAAGTACAGGCTTGTACCATGTGAGCTACATATAGTAGTTTTTTGAGGTGTATGAACTTTAATGGTATTTAATCTAGATAAATCAACATGGAAATTGCTTTTTGAGAAAAGACTAAAGAAAAAGTAAAATTACCCAGCCTCAAAAAAAAAAAAAAAAATTAGCCGAGGTGGTGGCACACACCTGTAATCCTAGCACTCAGGAGGCTGAGGCAGGAGGATTGCTTTGAGTTCATGGCCAGCCTTAACTACATAGAAAGACCCTGTCTCAAAAGCACAAAGTAAAAAATTAAAGAATAAAAAAAGTACATTCATAGTTAAGAATGTGGCACTTATCTAAATGGGTGTAAATTCTCTTTGGAATAGGCAAAAATAACACCTTTTCCTGTGTTTAAAATTTAGAAGTGACTTAAAATAAGAAAGAGTATGTTTTAAAACCTTCATTTCTTTGTTTGTTTCTTGTTTATTTCTTTGGCAGTACTAGGGATTGAACCCAGGCACTCAAGCTACTGAGCTATGTTGCCTGGGCTGGCCTCAAACTTGTGATTCTCCTCCCTCAGCCTCTGCAGCAGCTGGGATTACAGGCGTGTACCATCATGCTTAGCTAGTTGGTGTGTACTCACTGGCTTGAAGAGAAAGTTTAAAAAAGTTATGCAATAGCTCATTTGTCCTTTATTTTCAAGAGGATATAAAAACTTACTTTCTCTTTGTTTTTCCTATGCCACTACTTCCTGGCTCTTCAGGAATTTGATTCTCTTTTTCAGAATCTTTAGGGGAAAGCCTGAAGAATTCTCCAATTCCTTTTTGCCACTTGGGAGTTGGACGTACACAAACTGGATTCCCTCCTGAATACTTATTTTCAGCTGTAAAATAAATAAATAAATAGAACTAAATAAGAACATGGAATACAATCCCCAGTCCTTAAATAATTAAATTCTTTAACATCAAACGCTCCAAGATATTAAGTGGTATTATATCCATCTTAAAATAATTAGATAACGTGACCAAGAAAACCTTATTCAGTCACAGTGTGAAGCTGTTTCCCTTGCCTGGAGGCAAGGGTTAAGAAAATGCAGGGCCAGGGATATAGCTCAGTGGCACAGCACCTGCCTGGCAAGTGCAAGGTCCTGAGTTTGATTTCTGGTACCAAAAAAAAAAAAAAACAAAAAAAAACAAAAACCAACAGAAAACGGACAACATCTTGAAAAAAGAGAGGAGGTAAGGAAAGGAAAGGATTAAAGGAGGAAAAGAAGGCAGGAGAAAGGGAAGAAAAAAATACAGAAATAAAAGCAGAAGCTGGTAGGATAGCATGTGCTGTAATCCCATCACTTTGGAGGCTGAAGCAGGAGGATCTCAAGTTCAAACTCCATGTGAGGGCTAGGGATATAGCTCAGTGGCACAAGTGCCTGCCTGGCAAGCCCAAGGTCCTGAGTTCAATTCCTGGTACTGAAAAAAAAAAAAAACCAAATTGCACATGAGCACCTTACCAAGACCCTGTCTCAAAATACTATAAGTAAAAATAAAAGAGCTAGAGATAGGCCAGTGATATAGCTCAGTGGTACAGCCTGTCCAGCAAGTGCAGTGTCCTAAGTTTGATTCCTGGCACCAAAAAAAAAAAAAAAAAAAAAAAAAAAAAGAAAGAAAAGAAAAAAATCTGTACTAACACAATGTGGTTAGTACTGTCAACCATCATCTTGTATCTAGGGAGGAAATACTTCAGTAACCTCTACGAGATAAAATGATTGCAGGCATGCTGGCCTGCGCCTGCAATTGCAGCATTCCAGAGGCTGAGGCAGGAGGATCACTAGGAGATCTAGGCCTGCCTGGACTACATAGTGAGACCCAGTCTCAAAAACAAAACAAAACAAAACAAAAAGATAAAATGATTGTCGTTATTAAGAAAAATAATGCTAAACCCAAAAAGAAAAAATAGATTTGAAATAGCTTGAGATTCTCTTCCAAGAAACCATCAGTTCCACTCCTACCGGCCCAAAAGGCCAAAAGCCCCTTCAAAGGAAAACGAAGTTCAGCGTGAGGTTCTCAAGTAAAATGATTTGTACTGGAATTGAGATTACTGTTCTGAACTGTGGCGCCAGGCCTGATGATCCCCCTGCCCTTCTCTGTAGCCCTGGCGATTGCACCCAGGGCCTCTGCCCTGAGCAACATCCCAGCCCTTCTACAATTTTATTCATTTATTTATTTATTGGTACTGGGAATGAAACTCAGGACCTTGCACTTGCCAGGCTGAGCTATATCCCCGATCCTATTTATTTTTGAGAGAAGGACTCTCTCAGTTGTCGGGGCTGTGCTCGAACGTGTGAGCCTCCTGCCTCAGCCTCCTATCGTGCCAGGGTACAGGTATGTGTCACTACACTAGGCCGCGAGCTGGGCCCTCTCAGGAGGATTTCGTTACCTTAGGAGCTTCCACGGGTGCCTCTTACCTTTCCTCGAGGACGAAAGCGACGTAGAATTCATGGCAGAGGTGGAGGGACCCAGCACCTTCCTGGGGGCTCGCGAGGCCACCACTGCAAGGACAGACAAAGTGGGGGCTGGGGTGCTGGGCGTACAGCAGGGGGCAGGGAGGTTCGGACGTGGAGGCACGCTCTCGCCAGGGTCCCAGCACAAGGGGTGCGGAGGGGACAGCTCCGGGGTCCCCAAAGCCGGATGGCCTTCTCCGCAGCTTCCTCCCCCAGGTTAGGGCCCCGGGGCGCCCAGGCGCGGGAGCTGGGGCGCCCCTCCCTGCACCCCACACCCCAGGCCGCGCCAGATGGCCTCACCTTTCCTGTAGGTGCCCGGGACACTGTCTGCTTTAGTCCGCACCATGCTAGCCCGCGAGGAGAGACGAGGGAGCCGCGCTGACTTCCCGGCAAGGATGTCTCGCTGGACAAGGGCCCGGGGAGGCCGCTCCCGCCACCGTTAATTAAGCGCTGCTTTCCCGCGCTCCCTAGCTCTCGTGAGCCGTGACTCCATTGGTTCCGCGCCTTCCCCTGCGAACCAATCACGGAGTTCCATGGCGACAGTGGCCAGGCTGACCAGTCCATCAACGTGCAGCGCCCTGCGATTGGCACCCGCGCCAGGGGGCGGGGCGGGCGCCCAGTTCTCCACCGAGGAAATGAGCCAACCGGTAGAAGAAAACCCAGTAGCCTAAACTTAAGCGAACTTTTTGGGGCACCTAAATAGAGCCAAAGCTTGGGGGGGGGGGGAATTGAGAGTTTTAATACCCTGGCCCGAACTTTATCCATATCCACCATTTATTTCAAAATAATTCTAAGGGTCAGGGGAAAAAACAAACTAATATAATTTATCTAAAGGTTATAATGTTTTTAGGGTCCTGTGAGATTAAAGAAAAACTGGGTCAGTTAGATCTATATGCACACAATAATAAAATGTCTTTCTTAGAAAAATCTGCGAATAGGCTGAGGAGTCAGCCCTAGTCCAGGCGAACGTAAATAGAACCGGGGCCGAGGAGGTAGCTCAATGCACAAGCGCCTGCCTGGCAAGCACAAGGTCCTGAGTTCGATTCCTAGTAGCAAAAAAAAAAAAAAAAAGTTGATCCTAGGAGCGAAAGTACAGCACTGCTTGTCTTCAGAACAATTCTGCTTTCGTTTAAAAAAAAAAAAAAAAGTTACTCGGTACTTTAACAGAATCAACTACATTTGTTATAAAAACAAAGGATTTAGATACCAGGTTAAATTAACATGATACTAGGAAGTGTATTGGCAGTTACCTGCAGGCCACATTCTTACTAGGGCAGATACTAAAGTTAGAAAAACCAACAGCCGCAGGGCGTTTCTTTGATGTCCCCAGGCCCCATTTGGATGCAGGCTGCTTCTTAAAGCCATTACTTCCTTTTCGGTTAGTGTCCCTTCTACACAGCTCTAAATTGTTTAATCAGAACTCACATCCCAGATTCCTGCAGAGACCGGAGAACTCTCTGGGGGACCGTGTCACTCTTTCCTCCTATTCTCCATGCTAAGTAAATGGCTCAAAAGAATTTTGAATATACTGTACTTTTTTTTTTTCCAGTCTTTTTGAGACAGGGTCTCGCTATGCGGTGAGGTTGGCTCACTTTGTAGCCCAGGCTGGTCTCAAACTCCAAAAGATTCTTCTGCCTCAGTCTCCCAAGTGCTGGGATTACAGGTGTGCACCACCACACCCGTCAAAAGGCACTTTACTTTTTACAGTAGTAATGTGTGTGTGTGTGTGTGTGTGTGTGTGTGTGCACTTGAGGATCAAACCCATGGGCCTCACACATGCTAGGCAATTGCTGTGCTGCTGAGCCACATCCCTAGCCCTTTATGTCTTTTTGTTATTTGTTTGTTTTAATTTTTTGAGACAGGGTCTCTAGTCGTAGTCCAGGCTGACTTTGAGCTCACTGTGTAGTCCACACTGGCCTCAAACTCATAGCAGTCCTCCTACCTCAGCCTCGCAAGTGCTGGGATTACAGGTGTGGCAACCGTGCCTGGTTTTGTATGTCTTTTTGTTTGTTATTTATTTTTATTTTTTGTCTTTTTGAGGCAGGGTTTCACTATGCAGTTCAGGCTGGCCTTGAACTCACTTTGTAGCTCAGGCTGGGCTTGAACTCATGGCAGTCCTCCTGCCTCAGCCTCCCAAGTTCTGGGATTATAGGAGTGTGCCACTACACCTGGCTCTGTATGTCTTTTTAAATGCTAATAATAATGAAGTCTGCAAGTCAGAGAAAAAGCAAAAGAACACAGTGAAGCCTTTGGCTTCCTGGGTGCTAAGTTACAGTCATGAACCACCGTACCTACCTGTTACAGAGATTACCTTTAAATCATGTTAAATGAGTGTGCTTTTTCACTCAGGTAGAAATGTGGTTTAATAAATGATAATGATTATAAACATTAAATTATACAGATTAAAAGCTAGATGTAACACTCTAACATACATTACAGAAAAAGAATACTGATGCTATTGAAGACCTAGTCATTTTATCATAGTATATATGATGTATTAAGTTCTTTTGTGCAAAAGGACTTAGGGAATAGTCTCCGTCTTGAAGAAGTTAATATTTTAGTTATGGAACTGAATATTTTCATAGGTAAATTATTTGGATATATTAAATGATTTGGAATTTGGATATGTCATAATTAATAATATAATTATTGCTAAATAATATACCAGGTATTTTTATTATATCAGATTTAATAATATATCAGATTTTTGTGAAGAAACCAAACTTGTACAATTAACACTGACAAATATTTTGCTTTTCTTTGTCCTTTTGAGACGAGGTTTCACTATGCAGCTCGGGCTGGCCTTAAACTCACATAATAGCCCAGGCTGGTCTCAAACTTGCAGCGACCCTCCTGCCTCAGCCTTCCAAGTGCTGGGATTACAGGTTTGCAGCACCATACCTGGCCAATATTTTGCTTTTAAAAAAAGCAGGAAATCACACATTTTCCAAATTAATGGCATCACAGACACTATAAACTCAATATAAATCAATACTTACATTTGATTATTAATGCAAATGAAAAGATGAGCATAAAAAGGTAAAACAGTATCCAATTTAATATAATTTGCCTAAATACCCTGATAGGAATAAAGAACTTTTAACCTGTAAATGTGAGCCAAGTGTCGTAGAGCATGCCTATAATCCCAGGCTAGGGTAAGAAGTTGACAGATTCAAGGCCAGCCTGGGCAATTTAGCCAGAACCTGTTAAAAAAAAAAAAAAAAAAAAAAAAAGAAAGAAATTAAGGGCTTGGGATATAGCTCAGTGCAAAGGTCTTGTGTTCAATTCCGAGACCAATAATAAGTAAATAAATAGTAATTAAATGCCAGCCATAAGTCAGAAGACATCCTCTCCAGGAAAACTTGGCTACATATTCTCTAGCCCAATGTCCTAGCAGAGTGGGGAAATTACAAAAATCCTGGGATTAGAGGTGCATGCCATCACGCCTGGCAGGGATACTTTTTCTTACTTTCCCTAAACTGTGCTTTTTATAGGTATTTGAGTTGTCTTCTCAGCAATATTGCCAATGGTGTTCCTCGAACTTTAGACCCAAGGGTGCCATGAGCACACGCTGATGGAGCTGTGGTACAAACACCGCAGACCAGGAAGTGGGAAGCAGCCGGAGGCGGCACAGGTGGGCGGGACCTGTATTGGAGGCGGAGCGAGCGCTGGGGCGGTGCGAGCTGGCGGAACCCACGTGAGTGGGGTCGGTGTTGCGAAGGGAACTAGTCCGGGGTAGGACTTGGGTCCTTTGCCGCCCAGCTGGTTCCGGCCGGCGGGGGAAGATGGCGGTGTCTGGGGCCGCGTCTCGGGAGCCGCTAGTGCACTGGTGCACCCAGCAGCTGCAGAAGACCTTCGGTCTGGATGTCAGCGAGGAGATCATGCAGTAAGCTTGGTTTGAGTCCGAGGCGGGAGGGAGTACTAGTTCTGCACTGGCAGAGCGGGCAGGGAGGTGGGGAGGGTTCAAAAGTTGATGAGGGAGAAGAGAGGTGATAAAAGGGCTTCCATGGATCTTCTGTGGGTCCGCATTTTGGCCTCCGCCTTTTGTAGTTTTAGCTCCTGGAAGAGGTGGCAGCTTCCCCAGTATGCCAGTGGGGCCTGTTTTCCCTCGGAAAACGTCTAATCCATGGTAGACCTGTAAAATTGTCCCAGCCGGATTTTTTTTTTTTTAACAGACTGGAGAGAAGCAAGTCAGATTGACTTTCCAGAAATTCCTTACTCTGATCGTTTTAGTTTGCTCAATCTGAGTTGTGTCAAGTAGGACCTGGGATTTAAACGGGGCGACATGTGGGACAGTGCAAGTAGTTCCTGACTCTGAAGTCACAGGTTCTCCTTTCTGTTGTCCTTCACCGTCTTTGGAACCTTGGGCAATTTAAATTCCCAGAGGTACCTTGGTTTTTTTTCGTTTACAAAATGATGAGCTAGGGGAGCTTATCATAAGTTCTTTAAAGTTCTTATGAAATACAGATAGATAGCGTGTTTCATATCTGCTTTGGATCGATTAAGGAATATTTGCTTTTTGGGGGCAATGAAGACAATCACGACATTTGGGTTATGTCCTATGGATGAGTGCTGAGAAGAGGAAAGTAGAGAATGTGGGAGCATGGAATAAAGGATCCCCACTCAGATTAGAGACACTGGAAGATTTACTGGAAAAGCTTCTCCTCTGAAGAATGCACAGAGGTGGAGATGCCAAGGCGAGGAAATCTCGTACAAAAATAGGATGTGACCAGGGAACCTAAAGGTGTTCCTTAATTTTATTCTCTGTTCACTAATGCTAAAGCCCACATTTTGATTCTCAGTTTGTAGGAAGTAAGGTGAGTCTGTGAGTTTGGGAGAGAATAGATTTGTTGGCAAGGAAAGAATTAAGAAAGGCTATTCTAAAGGATTTTTCGGCACACTGCAATAGACTGCAAAGAAAAAGACAAGTCATATGGTTCGGCTTTACCCTTCTTTGAACACAAAGTCAAATTAAATATAGTAGTTTTCAAACTTAAAAAAATAGACTGGTATCAAATGAAATAAGGAAACTTGTCAATATATAAACCATAAAAAGTGGCTTTTAACCGTATAAATTCAAGTTCATCACATTATTCGTTATAAAGTCACTCATTATTTAAATGATTGAGTTACTGTGTGTGTTTGTGTATGTGTTAGTTGCTGAGGCTGGAACCAGAGCTTTTTACACTGAGCTACATCCCCACCCACTCCCCCACTTTTGGGTTTTCTTGAGACCGGCTCCCTATACTTCAGCTGGCCGTGATCTCACTATGCTCACTATATAGCCCAGGCTAGTCTCAAGCTCACAGCGATCCTCCTGCCTCGGCCTTCCGAGTTTATTTTTTTAGTTTGAGACAAAGTCTCTCTAAGTTGCCCAGGGTGGCCTCCAATTTGTGGTCTTTGTGCCTCAGCCTCGTGAATAGCTGGGATTACAGATATGCACCACTGCACTGGTCTATAAATTTGTGTTGCTAAGCCCCTGAATTTGTAGTAACTTAATACTATTTTGGGTGGATCCTGGGGATTGAACCCAGGGTCTCCTGCATCCTGGGCAAGCCCTATCTACATCTCTGGTCCTGGGACTATTTTTGATGAATCTATATTCTTGTTTTGTTTTGTTTGGTTTGGTTTTGCTTTATGTAGCTCAGTCTGGCCACAAATTCACAGCCATCCTCCTGCCTCAGCCCCCTGAGTTCTGAGATTGCGGGTGTGTACACCACATCTGGCTGAATCAACAATTTTACATGGGGTAGGAGTGATGGATTCAGTCTTCTCAGTTTTAGAATGTAGTTTTATTGTTTGATTAGTGTAGCATCAAGAAAATTCTGATTCTTGTAATTAGTAGTATTAACAGCTTATTTTGGAAACTCAGATTTTGCTTAGTTGAACATTGGTCCACTCCCTTGAAAGTAGAATGATACGTTTCTGTTTTAAAGTTGAAACACTTAAGGGTAGCTAAACACCTGCTTTAGTTTTTTAAATTAAAATTTTAAGTTAGACAGGAAGTGTTCCAATGTTAAAATAAACACTAAAGCTACCTATCATGCACTACTATTTGAACTTCTTACTAGTTATTCCCTAATGGTTGCACAACATGCTATGATGTCCAAAGATGAAAGCATTTATTGTGCCTTGACTGGCATTTAATTGAGAATTAGCTAGAAGTATTATAATAGTGTACTAACGTGAATAAATTTTACACAGGTGGCCTGAATTTTGAAAATAGCACAGAACTATTAACCGCCTCATCACTGACATGTCTATAAGACATTAAGATCTGTAACAGAATTAGCAAAATACAATCTGCATGATATAATGTTTAGTTGATTCTATTTTGTTATGATTTGGCATATGACACATTTGGATGAATGTTCTTTACTATACTTTCTTAAATAGTTAAAATGACATTTATTTAAATGTTCCTAGAACTCTGTTTACTTGGTGGTTTGAAAACTTCAGGGTTAATGATCCTATGAGAGCCTTTGCAGCTCTGTGAGTCTTATAATAATCTTCTGGTGAGGGCTGGTAAGTTTGGAGATCGAGGTGATTAAAATGTGTAAGTCTTGAAAAGCCATTGTCTTTTTGGTTTCTTTTTGTTTGTTTGTTTGTTTTTTTTCCGGTACCGGGAATCGAACTCACAACGTTGCACTTGCCAGGCAGGCGCTGTGCTGCTGAGCTAAATCCCCAGCCCGCCATTGTCTTTTTTTTTTTTTAATTCTGATTATTAGAAAATTCTTTTAATGAGAGTAAGGCACAGATTTGTTTCTACTGACCATAGCTCTGCATTTCTGTCACTATACTAGGAAAAGGGTCCAGTACCTACACTACTAATAATGAAACTATTTTGTGATTCCTTTGCATTTAAAAGCTATGACATTATAATAATTTTGCTTATGTCCCATACTAATGTGCCTGAGTTACAATTTTTTTCTTTCTTTCTGTCTGTCTTTTGGAGGAAAGGTTTATTGTGGCTCACAGTTTGCAGAGGTTTCAGTCCATAATGGCTGGCTAACCTGGGCTCCATAAGCGAGTTCAAGGCCAACCTGCACCACATAGTAAGCCCCTACCTCAGAAAAATAAAAAAAAAAAATTTAAAAACCCAAGAAAACCTCTTAGTGATCAGCTGGCTCCAAGGCAGGGGTAGCATGGCAGACAGACGCCACAGAGGAGAAACAGTTCATGATGGGCAGAAGGTAGCAAAAACAAGAAAGGAGGGGCCAGGGATATAGCTCAGTGGCATAAGCGCCTGCCTGGCAAGCACAAGGTCCTGAGTTTGATTCCCAGTACCCAAGGGAAAAAAAAAAAAAAAACAGGAAAGGACAGAGCTACAGTTTCTTAAGTGTTTATAATACTGTGAAGCTCTTATATTTAAATTTATGTTATTTTTACTCCTTTTTTTTCATATTTGGGCTGAACCCAGAACCTTCTCAGTGAGCTACATTCCCTAGTTCTTTCTCATTTTTTAAATTTTGAGACAGGGTCAAGCTGAGTTGCTAAATTGCCCATGTTGTGCTTAAAATTGCAGTCCTCCTCCCTCAGCCTTACAGAATGCTGGGGTCACAGGTGTGCACCGCCATGCCTAGGTTGCTTTTTTTTTGTTTTTTTTTAATAAGACATGTTCATTGCTTCTCAGCCTTTCGGCTAAGATCAAGCATAGTATCTGTTCTTACAATTTAATAAGACATGTTCCCTATCGAAGACTTTAAAAAAAAAAAAGAAAAGGATAAAGAAGAAAACCAAAACACACTATTCTTCCCATGCATATTATCATGCAATATATTTTCAGAAATATTCATTGTAGGAAGGGAAAAGAAAAATTAAAACTGCTTTTAATTTTGTCTTTTGTAGTAATCAATTTGGCTACTTTCTAGGCTTTTTTTATACATGTGTATGTGCTTATATGTACCTACTTCTCTTAAGACAATTGCAATCTATACTATACCTTTTGTTTGCTGTGCCATTATAATTTCTTGTACCATTTCTTGAATCAGTTGCAATTATTAAAAAATTTCATGTTTGGTGGTGGCCTTATACAGTATTATATTTTATAAAACCCAAAATCTTGAACTCATTTACTCCTTTCTGTATCAACAGACATTTTAAATTCTTTTCTGCTAATCAAATAATGATACCTTTGGTTTTTTTTGCATGAAAATGTCTGTGCCTTTTGTTTTACTTGTTGTCTTTTTTTTTTTT